TGGGTGGCTGAGTGGGAAGGGGCTGCGGGTCACAGAGTGAGGTGATGATGTCACTCTGTTGTCCCGCAGGAAAAGGTTTTTTTTACATATATATAGAGAAAATTCAGCACAAGAAAGGGCCAGACAATTGCCATAAAATCAGTGGATCTGAGTGTAGTCTAAAAAGCAAGACTGAGCGATTGCAAGTCAATAGTATGTCACACTGACATTGCATCTTTTCTCATTTTATAGATGATGCAAAGTTATGTTTTTATCAGAGCAGCTATTAAGAATTCTTTCATATTCAAAATAAATTGAAGTAGGATTAGATTTCTATGTTATATCATTACACGTTTTACTACTTAATGAACACACCAATGCCCATAATTCTTGGGCTTTGTTGGAAGATGTAATACATGAGCTGTAAGGCAAATCTTTCCATATACTGATCCACTGCAAAAGTTTTTGTAAATTTTTGCACAGATTAGATGATATTTGACACCATCTCCAGCATTTACTATGAGTAGACCAACTAACTTCAGACAGACTGGGGAAGTTGGTCTAAAGCCCATCTGATTTGCATGCGAGTCTTCAATTTCTGTGGGTTCTGGATCAGGCTCTTACTATTCAACAGATTTTACTAAAAAAATCATATAGATAATGAATTGGTGCATGGATTTTATGAATGGAATAGAACATGTGCAAATAATGCATGTAGCCCCAATGCATCACTTAAATAAACCAGATTTGTGTTTGCACATGAAAAATAATTTATATTGCATGTGAAATATACCTTGCTGTAACTGGAAAATGACACTATAAGCCAAAATGATGAAACTTGGTCTCTTAGGGTACGTCAACGGAGCCATGTAGATTTATTTGTTCAGCAAAGGGAAATGAAGCCGCGATTTAAATAATCGCGGCTTCATTTAAATTTATATGGCTGCCGTGCTGAGCCGACAAACAGCTGATAAGCTGTTTGTTGGCTCAGCGCGCTAGTCTGGACGCTCCCCTGCTGACATGAAAACCCTTTATCGACCTCCCCGGTAAACCTCATCCTACGAGGCATAACGGGGAGGTCGTTAAAGGACTTTCAGGTTGGCACGGGAGCATCCAGACGAGCGCGCTGAGCCGACAAACAACTGATCAGCTGTTTCTCGGCGGCAGCCATGTAAATTTAAATTAAGCAGCGATTATTTAAATCGTGGCTTCATTTCCCTTTGCCGATCAGCCTAATCTACATGGCTCCATCAATGGAGCCATGTAGTTTAGACACACACTTATAGTATCACAATTTGTAGATACAAATAATTGTAGGCAAAATTATGTGTTAGGATAATTTAGCTGAGAGATGAAATCTTGGCCCCAGTGAAGTCAATGGCAAAACTCTCATTGACTTCAGTGGTGTCAGGATTTCACTTAGGTGAGATTTTCAAAAGTACTCAACGTTGGCTTTTCTGCTCTCCTTATGGTCAACAATACAACTCCCACTCGATTCAGTGGGAGCTGAGTTAGATCAGAACCAATCCCTTTTGAAAATCCCATTCTGAATGCCAGATTGTGATGGCTAAACAGGTACTTGGCTGAATGCCAGATTGTGATGGCTAAACTTAAGTAAGTTTAATTTCACCCATGATTAATGACTTGCAATTATTTGCATCAGGAAATTTCAAGTACAAAAAAGGAGGCCCATCTAAAGCCGGACTGAAAGTCAAGCCCTCTCTGAGCTTTAAATCATACACCTACTGTGCTTTTCTTCTAGGCTGCATATAGATTGGCATGATTTTCTGGAAATGCTTTTAATGGAAAAATTTTTCATTAAAAGCATTTTTGGAACAGAGCGACTAGATTGGCACGGATGCTTTTCCGCAAAAGCACTTTTTCAGAAAAGCGTCCGTGCCAATCTACACGTGCTTTTCCGCAAAAAAAGCCCCGATCGCCATTTTTGCGATCAGGGCTTTTTTGCGGAAAACAAATCTGAGCTGTCTACACTGGCCCTTTTGCACAAAAGCGACTTTTGCCTGAATTGGAGCAGAATAGTATTTCCGCAAGAAGCACTGATTTCAGACAGTAGGAAGTCAGTGCTTTTGCGGAAATTCAAGTGGCCAGTGTAGACAGCTGGCAAGTTTTTCTGGAAAAGCGGCTGATTTTCCAGAAAAACTGAGCAGTCTAGACACAGCCCTAATGTATTATTCTTACTGTTTGTATAAACAAGTCTGTATAAACAAGTCTCGGCCTATTGGTCATGATTTATCTGATTCAGGAAGACTAATCCAAAGCCAGAGAAAATGGAGAAAAGCAAACAAAAGTAATCCCAGTTCCTACTTGTCACTTTAAAAGCATGGCCATGACTAATCAGTTTGAAGCAAAAATGGTTGCCTTGTCTCCAAGCTCTTTATCTTGAAAGACAAATCAGCATCTTTAATTAATGCATGGTCTTGAAGCAACATTTAGCTGCCTTCTCCCAACATATAATTTGATTTATGTGCCAGTCCTATATTACCAAGTGATAGAAAAGGAACTAGGATTTGATTTAGACAAGAATACAGTTAAATTGGGACAGGTTGCCAGGCCCCAGGCAGACAGTAAACATTAGATTTTCTCACTTGCTCTAAAATCAGCAAATAATTTTCCCAATGACTGAAGATGCAGAACTCTGCTTCTGCAGCTCCTAGTTCCCCTAGCTGTGTGTTCCTCCTGATCTGTTCTTGTTAGAAGACAAAGTGTACTTTCTAGTGCAGCATCAATACAATATCAATGCAATTAGCAAAGAGTACTGTTGTCATTGTGACCTAAGGAACCTGAAGAATTATGTTACTGTTGGCTAGGGGAATGAAATAGACAAAGGCCTTGATATGTCTTATTTGCAACCCTGTCACTCTAATATTATCTTGCAGTACTTGTCTTGTGCTCAATCATGAATGATTAAGAGGTAGGAAAGGAAGGAACTGAAATTAAAGTGAGAATGATGAGAATTATTTCTGAAGCCTTATCCCATTTTTTTTAAAAACACCATTTTCCCCCCCTCTCAAATAGGCATAACCATGACAAAACATTTCTTATCTGGATTAATGAAGAAGACCATACCAGAGTGATTTCCATGGAAAAAAGTGGTAATATGAAAAGGGTGTTTGAAAGATTTTGCCGTGGTTTAAAAGAGGTAACAACTCAGCCAGTTTGAATTAATTTTTATTATTCTTGTTTGTTAGCAAGTAGCATCACCACTCCTTCATATGGTTAAAACTGAATTCCTTTTCATTATTTTTAGCAACAAAATGGAAATCTCGATACAAATTATACCCTAGTTGAAAAGCAACAGTAACAAGAAAGTAAAGACACAGCATTGTCACATTGTTAGCTAAAATGCTGGGACCATCACACCCAAACTGTGCCAGAAGTTTTAAAAAGTCAAAAACCAACTGAAAATTTTCAGACTCTTTTTCTAATTGCAATGGCAATAGTTATTTATAAACAAATATGCATCGTCTTGGAGTGTTTCCGCCCAATCTGTAGCACTGTGCCTGAAAATGAAATTTATTATTAGAAAAGAGCAACTGATTCCATTCATTTGATGAGAGAAATACATAAAGAAGAACAAACAGCCAAAATAGTGAAAAATAGATTAGATTTTAAAAATTATTTTAAATTCTGATAAAAGGAAAGATAATATGTGTTGGTTTACAATTACAAATAAAAATAAATGATTTTTAAATCAGAAAAGTCTTTTTAACTTCAAAAGTTACAACCATAGGCACTGGTCTAAGGCTTCATCCATCTATTTAGGCGTTTTTATTTCAAATACATATAAATATGAAGAAAAAATATCTACATTACAATATTGTGAAGGCTATAACACAAGGCAAGCCAGCTAAGACTGAATCTGGTCACTGATGTAGCCCATTCTTACTGCCTGAGCAGCACAAAGCAATGACAGTCTAGGAATTTAACTACTAAAACACATATCAACAGGAGACCAATATATTGACTACTTTTTTGTTTGGGCTCCCACCCGTGGGCCACACGTTGAGCCCCGTCTAAACCCAAACTGCACCACGGGCCACAAACAAACGGGCCACGGGCCACATGTTGAGTAGCACTGCTCTAAGGGTATGTCTAGACAATTGTGCTAGTTTGGGATACTTCTGCATCTTTTAAGCAACCCTGTTATTTCAAAATATAACAGGCTCACTATTCTGACGTCCCTGTAAAGGTCGTTGCACAAGGATTAAGAGATGTTTTGGAATAGCAGTTTATTTCAAAATTTGGTGCTGTGTAGACAGCACAAAATTACAAAATAATCTATTTCGAAATTTACTTGGAGTAAGCAATGCAATTTGTGTAGCTCATTTCAAGTTGAGGGTGCAGTGTAGATGCACCTTTGTTGGAACTCCTAAAGTCAGTGGTTACTAATCTGTCATTTAACACGGGTATGAATGTTTTGTAACTCTGACACATGGCATATGACTGGAGCCAGGAAATCAAGTCACATCTCTTACCAGCAGTCCTGGTGTTATCACAGACTCCCTATGTGACTTTTTGGGGAAGTCCTTTTACCATTCTGTATGTCAGTAAACTCATCTACAAAACAGGGATACTTATCTTCCAAGGGGTTAGTGAACCTTGAATAATTAATGCGCCTGATTCTCCTCTCACATCTGATTTACACTGGAACTGCACTGATTCAATGGAATTACCCATGATTTGCATTAGTATTAGCAGTATTGTCCCACTGACTCAAGGATTCAACATTCAAGTGTCAGGCCATGAAAATCATGATTTTTTAAAAACTAATAAATTTGGGGTCCTTTCCTTTGCTCGCTGGTGCTTACAACTCACAAAAGCTAGAAACTTACTTTGATTTCAAATGAAAGTTAAGCTACCTGACTGCATCACTTAGGCTTTAAGAAAAATATCAAACATCACAAGAACCGCAATAAAATCAGATGAAATAACAACACTGTGTATGTGATAGGAAAATGTTTAAAAGTTCACTGAGGATATTAGATGAAAGGTACTGGATACATGAAAAAATGTATATCTCAATCATAGGTTCATTTACGGCCCTCCTTACCCATATACAGAAAATGCAGCTGCATAGGGTATTCGAAAATTTGGGCCACCACAGGATCTTAATGTCTATCCACCTCTTCGTGGCACTATTCTGTAGTTCTGCTTCCTCCCGAGGGGATCTAATTAAATTAAAAGTGAAAAAGCCTGGCAGACCTATTAGCAGAACACTTAACCTGTGAAAGAGCCATTCCAGTGGTAATAAAGCCATTTACCAAGCATTTGCTGACCCCCCCCCCAAGTATATACTTTCCGTTTCTGAATTTTGTTGAAGAGGACCTTAGTTTAAAATTTTCTTTAAAAATATTTCATTAGCATGTTGCTGAAGATTATAAAAACCACATCTCTAAAATATTGCCCCCCCCCCCCCCCCAGGGGCACCAGTTTAATAATGTTACATAGGGCCCCAAAGTCCTAAGGCTGTCCTTGGGTTCATTTACACATAACTGTATGTGTTTTATATACCTAATAGGCCAAATTCTGCCCTACTTACACCTGTTTAACTCCATTGGAGAAGAATCCATAAGTGGATTTTTGTGGGCATAACTAAGAGCATAAATTGGAAAATATAGGTTTAATATTCAAATTCATGAAAGGCAGTAAGTATTTCAGCAACATTGTCACAAGATGAGACATTTGCATGCAGCAGTTTTCCTTTTATTTTATTTTATTTTTTTTAAACTTGCAGGTTGAAAAGTTAATTAAAGAACGGGGCTGGGAGTTCATGTGGAATGAACGCTTAGGATATGTTCTGACCTGTCCTTCCAACCTGGGAACAGGATTACGTGCAGGGGTCCATGTTAAACTTCCAAAACTCAGCAAGGTATGTAAGCCATTAAAAGGGCTGTGATGTAAATCAGCTCTTTATCTAACTGAGAAAGGAACAAATGAAAAAGGACAGTTCATGGTGTTGATGAATTATTAGTGTAACTATGGGGCCCCAGGGATATTCTGTGACGAATTATGCATATGTAACCCATCAAATTAATGTATTTGTTATGTGAATGAAACTTTTCACCCACCAGCCAATCAGGCAGCCAATATACCTAAGGCATAGCAAAATATTAGAGCTGTCAATTGACATGCGTTAGCACCTGAGATTAACGCAATCCAGGATTAAATTTTTTAACGTGTTAATCACAGGCGTTAATGCTGTGCTGCCCCCTTTGAAATGCCACTGCAGTACTTCAAAGGGGCAGTGCAACAGGGAGCCCAGGATTAGCTGGGCAGTCCCCAGCTGACCCTGGACTCCACTGCCCCTTTGAAACGTGCAGAGGAAGTGTTTCAAAGGGCCAGCCACCTCACAGCTGAGTCAGGGATCAGCTGTGGGGTGGCTGCCCCTTAAAAACTCTGCTTCTGCATGTCCCCAGTTGACCCTGGGTTCTGGGGAACTGCTGTGCAGAGTCTGGGATCAGTTAGGGAGTCCCCAGCTGACCCCGGGCTCCACTGCCCCTTTGAAACATGGAGAGGTGGCATTTTAAAAGGGCAGCCTGGAGCCTGGGGTCAGCTGGGGACTCCCCAGCTGATTCTGGGCTCAGTGCAGCAGTGGAACCTGGGGTCAGCTGGGGATATCCTAGAAAATATCCATCCCTACCAGTCTTTCTGAAGAAACTATTGAAGTAACTGATAACAGTATTAGCAGTAATCAATACAGTATTTAATACCAGTATATCTAAAAAGTGTGGAAATACAAAAATTGGGGCTGTCAAGCAATTCAAAAAATACAATTTATTAACATTTTTAAAAATGGTTTTTACCTTATTAAAAATATTGATTTAAATTACAGCACAGAATATAAAGTATATAGTGCTCACTTTATATTTATTTTTATTGCAAATATTTGCACCATAACAAAACAAAAGTAATATTTTTTCCATTCCCCCATTGCAAGTACTGTAGCAGGATCTCTTTATCATGAAAGCTGACCTTACATCTGTAGACTTGTGTACAAAAAACTGCATTGAGAAATAAAACAATGTAAAACTTAGAGTAGTGGTCTCCAAACTTTTTATGCCCAAGATCACTTTCTAAATTCAAGGGCAACTCAAGGCCCCACCCCTTACCCAAAACTCTATCCACTCCATCCTTCCTTCCCCCCTCACCGGCATTGCTTGCTGTCCCCCACTCTGACTTACTTTTACCAGGCTGGGGCAAGGTTTGGGGTTCAGGACAGAGAGCGGGGGATAGGAGGGGTATGGATGCTGGCTCTGGGAGGGGACTCAAAGTGCAGGAATGGGCATGGGGTGCTGTCTATAGAGAAGGGTTGCGGCTTGTGGTGTGGCCTCCTGCTGGGTAGCACTTACCATACGTATGTATATAACTGGTAACAAAAACTCCAATGTTTATAAGTTTCAAGATAGACATTGTACTATAGCACTTGAATGAGGAGAATGAAAAATACTATTTTTACAGTGCAAATATTTGTAATAAAAATAATATAAAACACTATACATTTGATATTCTGTTTTGTAATTGAAGTCAATATATTTGAGAATGTAGAAAAATATCCACAAATATTTAATATATTTAAATTGGGATTCTATTGTTTAACAGTGTCATTAAACTGTGATTAATTTTTTGAGTTAATTGTGTGAGTTAACCTTGATTAATCAACAGTCCTAACAAAAGTGACTCTTGTGCTAGGATCCCAGATTTTCAAAGATTCTGGAGAATCTCAGGCTGCAGAAACGTGGCACTGGTGGTGTGGACACAGCAGCTGTGGCAGATGTGTATGATATCTCCAACCTAGACCGCATGGGTCGATCAGAGGTAATAATGTTTTTCTAGTTTTAAAATCAATGAGGCAGATTATGCAAATGGTCATCATCTCATGGATGTCAACTAATTTCAGTGGAGCAGTTGACTTCAGTGGAGCTATTGTAAGCCACACACTGACGCTACATCTACACTACGAGCCTCTTCTGCAAGAGAAAAATGCAAGTGAAGCACTAATTTGCATATGTCACTCTCTCATTCGCATTTCCTCCTCAGATCCCTTTTGTGCAAAAGGCTTTTGCGCAAAAAAGCGCTGTGTAGATGGCTCCTTTTTGCGCAAAAAACCCCTTTTCTTCCCTAGAACACAGGGTTTGGTAAAACTCTCCTCAAAGAAAGAATGGCTCTTGTGCAAATGGGGTTTTTGCACAAAAAGAAGCCGTCTACACAGTGCTTTTTTGCACAAAAGCATCTTCCGCAAAAGGGATCCCAGGAGGAAATGCAAATGAGATCACGGCATATGCAAATGAGTGCTCCATTTGCATTTCCTCTTGCGGAAGAGGCTCATAGCAACAGACAAGAACAAGATACCTTTACAGAATTGGCTAGGTGCTAGTTGTCTTTAGCTCAGAGGGTAGAGTCTCCTATACTAAGCTTCAGAGATTACAGGTTCAAATCCACCTGTGGAAGTTACATTCTGACCATTTACATCAGCTTGGATTCACAGAAAGTAAAGTTTCTCACATGTATTTGCATCACTTTGTCAATCAAAATACAAAAGATCTAAGTATAGAAGAATACAAAATACTGTATATATTAGGGATGTAAAATCCAATTTAATTAGTTAACTGATTAAACCTTAAGTTTAACTGGTTAACCAATTTAATGGGGATAGGCCCACTGTGGATGAAGGTTGCTCTGTCTGGGATCCACTGGTTAATGATTAACATCCCTATATATATATATATGTTTAAACAAGTGGAAAAACAATGAGAGATGTTGTATTATTTGAGAAACAGTATGTCATCATGACCTATGCAACATTTTGCAATATTTGATGTGTGCTTTTTGCGAAGTTATTAATGTTTATATTGTATTGTTCATTTGCATAATTTAAAAAAATAAGGATTAAGCCTATAATTCCTTATTCATGTGAACATTTCTTCTGGTCAGTGAGGCTGTTTGAGAGTAAGGACTAATCCTGTAAGGATTTGAAAGATGAAGCTTATAGGGCACACCTATTTCTGTTCTGAAAATCTTTCAATCTAAATAAGACAAGACAAATACTCTCAAAGATAGAAATATTTTATTATAGAATATATATTTTCAGTACATAATAAAATAGATTTCATTATGTGATAAACCTGTTTGCAGAACTAAATTATATCCCTAGTGGCACAATGTAAAGTTGTTTGGAGTTTTGTTTGTTTCAGTTACTGGTCAGTGCAAACTTAACACAAAATTCTTTTCATCCTGGCAGCTGCAAAATCAGACTGCTGATTTCCCAAAGCAGCTGGTCTGTATAGACAATAAAACAAACTGCTAAGCCACTGAAATGCATTATAGTAAAAAACAAATCCCTTCAAAATCCATTATTGTCCCAATAAAGCAGCATTGGAATTTAGTCTGGGTAACTAGTTATATAGTTTGCTATCTGGCTTTAGTAAGGTTGTTAATGTACCATTTCATGCAGATTTAAAAAAACAAACAAACCATAACAGTGAGGGTATGTCTACACTACCACCCTAGTTCGAACTAGGGTGGTAATGTAGGCAACCGGAGTTGCAAATGAAGCCCGGGATTTGAATTTCCCGGGCTTCATTTGCATAAAGCCGGGCGCCGCCATTTTTAAATGTCCGCTAGTGCGGACTCCGTGCCACGCGGCTACACGCAGCACGGACTAGGGAATAGGAAGCCTAGTCCGAACTACCTAGTCCGTGCCGCGTGTAGCCGCGCGGCACAGAGTCCGCACTAGAGGATATTTAAAAATGGCGGCGCCCGGCGAGATGCAAATGAAGCCTGGGAAATTCAAATCCAGGGCTTCATTTGCAACTCCGGTTGCTTACATTACCACCCTAGTTCGAACTAGGGTGGTAGTGTCGACATACCCTTATATAGTTTGCTATCTGCTCTACAGTTAACATCACCAGGGGACCTAGAACACAAGGTTTGATAAAACTCTCCTCTCTCAGCAGCACCTTGTCTATTCTTTTTCATTCTTCAGTACAGTAGTTTTTTAAAAGATTACATAAATGCATTTGTCTATTTCTGTATGGAATTGAAGTATCTGCTGTTGCTTTTGGGTAAGACACTGGGTCTCACTTACACCAGTGTCACTTGGGAGTAATTTTCACTAAATTCAATGGCATTATACCTAGTGTAAAGTCAATATGAGTTTAGAAGCAGGCCTATAGAAATGTGGATTAAAGGCTTGATATTACAGTTACTATAAAGGCAAAACTCTCCTTTGAATCAATGGGAGCTTTTTTGTGCATAAGAGCAGTTGGTCACGTGTTGTGTTAGCATCCAACAAGCCCTTGGCAATTGCAAGACTCCATTCTGAAAATATGGTGTGAAAGGATAACTCTAAAGTAGACTGAATAGTCCTATCCTAACAGCTGATAAGAAGTGTGAAACACTCCTTCTCATTCAGAGTTTGAAAGATATTTCATTCGTACACCCATAAGAGCCCAGCAGCAGATACTTTGCTCACTTTAATATTTGATGACACTGAAAGAATAGTCTAATGATTTTGTAAATCCATTACTTCTACAGTCTATCCTTTATTTTTAGTTTATCTTAATTTTTGTTTTTATGAGGTTGAGTGGAGGTGACAACTCATACAAAAGACTCCTGTAGAATTTGATAGGGATGAAACCAACAAATCTGTATAAAGGGCCCCGTGAAAACCTGTAATATATAACAGAAAATAATAGCTTTCTCATAAGTTTTCTGATTCATCCTTTAACATTCTATAGAAGGGATATACTTCTTTATTACTTTCCACAGTCTGGATCAAAAAGTCTATGGATGGGCTATCATTTTCTATTGAATTAGAGAGTGGCAAAAGGTGCATCACCCTAGCAAAAGTAGATGGATAGAGGCATTAAAACTTTGAAAGATATGTCTTCTGGGTAATGGTCTAAGTATGCTGGGAAGTATGTAACCAATGTTCTACCAAAACAGACATCCTCACATATGGTAGCTGTGGCTCTACTTAGCATCAGATAAGTTTGGAGTTACTAGTTCTGTTGGCAGGACTCTCCTCATTTTACAACGTAACCTAAATTATTGGTTTTTTTTCCCCCTGTATAAGGTGGAGCTTGTCCAGATTGTCATTGATGGGGTCAATTATCTGATTGACTGTGAGAAGAAGCTGGAAAAAGGTCAAGATATTAAGGTGCCACCCCCTTTGCCCCAGTTTGGAAAGAAGTGAGCTTGTTACAGATGATTAATAACTGATGTGAAGTATGTCAGTTTTTCTGCCAAAAAAATGGTTTCTGTATATCTTAGTGTGTAAATAAGATTCTGACAACTTCTGAAATAAAACATTACCTGATGCCTTATCGAGTGTCTGTTTTTTTAATAGCTGGTTGGGTTGGCAAAGAATTAGCATTCAGAAAATGACTCTGTGTAATATAATAATGATCAATAAGTGGATTTTAATTATATAAAAATGTTCGTTATTTTCTAACATTGCCATCCAAGTCTTGTGAATAAGGGAGAAGTGGTGGAAGTCATATGCCTAGGCTTTAATAAGGCATTTGATACGGTTTCACATGATTTTATCAATAAACTAGGCAAATACAACATAGATGTGGCTACTATAAGGTGGGTGCATAACTGGCTGGATAATGGTTCTCAGAGAGTAGTTATTACTGGATTACAATCATGCTGGAAGGGCATGAAGAGTGGGGTTCTGCAGTGGTCTGTTTTGGGACTGGTTCTATTCAATATCTTCATCAACAATTTAGATATTGGCATAGAGAGTACACTTATTAAGTTTGCAGATACTGAGCTGGGAGGGGTTGCAACTGCTTTGGGGGACAGGGTCAGAATTCAAAGTGAACTGGACAAATAGGATGAAGTTTAATAAGGATAAATACAAAGTACTCCACTTTGGAAGGAACAATCCATTTCACACATACAGAATGGGAAGTGACTATCTACGAAGGAGAACTGCTGAAAGAGATCTAGGGGGTCAAAGTGGAACACAAGCTAAATATGCGTCAACAGCGTGATACTGTTGCAAAACAAGCAAACGTGATTCTGGGATGTATTAACAGGAGTGTTGTGAGCAAGACATGAGAAGTCATTCTTCTGCTCTACTCTGCTCTCATTTGGAGTATTGTGTCCAGTTCTGGACACCACAATTCAAGAAAGATGTGGAAAAATTGGAGAGGGTCCAGAGAAGAGCAATAAGAATGATTAAACTATCTAGAGAACATGAGCTTTGAAGGAAGAGTGAAAGAATTGGGCTTGTTTAGTTTGGAAAGGAGAAGACTGAGAGGGACATGATAGCAGTTTTCAGGTATCTATAAGGGTGTCACAAGAAGGAGGGAGAACAATTGTTCTTGTTGGCCTCTGAGGATAGGACGAGAAGCAATGGGCTTAAACAGCAGCAAGGAAGGTTTAGGTTGGACATTAGGAAAAGCTAACCGTCAAGGTGGTTAAACATGAATAAATTATTCAGGGAAGTCATGGACTCTCCATCTCTGGAGATATTTAAGAGCAGGTTAGATAGACATCTATCAGGGATGTTCCAGATGGTGCTTGGTCTGGCTATGAGGGCAGAGGATTAGACTCGATGATCTCTCAAGGTCCTTTCCAGTTCTAGTATTCTATGATTCTAAGTATCCTATGATTTTATATAATTTAGTGTATGCAATATCTTTTCTACTAGCTCTATTTAATATTATGCACTAACAGGGGAAAGTCATGGAACTCCTTCAGCATGAAATAAACAGACTAGAAAGTTCATCAGAAATGAAAGAGATGTTATATAGATTTTGGATGCTCTCATGGTGTTCTTCCATTACTGTAAACTTCTTCCCCACCACCACTCCCTGCAATTCATATGTAAACAGAGCTTCCATTATTTTGATTCCATAATGCTTTATTTATATTGGAGACAGATAAACAGCTGCTTTCCCTCCTTCTTGGGAGAAAACCCCCTTTCCTCCCATTTCTCCTTTTGTTTGGTCACAGACTTTAAAGCATATTATCTGTGAGTATTCATATTCCTCAGATAGCAGTAATACATGCATTTCAGAATATCAATCACTATAATGATTAATATCAGGTTTTATGAAAGGCCTTACTTGACAATCTTTTATAACACAGTAATATCATACACACATGATTGATTCAGTTGCTTACTATTTGAGGTCCAGACCTCTGCAAGAGGCTACCTCCCTCACTTGGTAGGATGATGGCTTTGTTTACCTTTTAATGTAAATACATCTTCATAATCTCTGCCTGGCAACCATGCTGATCAAACAACTATACATTCCTTTGCTTAAGGCATACTGCACCTATGCACTGCTTGCCAAAGAAACACAATTCTAGCATATAGTCATAACTCTTTGCACATATCCCATATATATTATGCAAGAATACTAATGATGAGTGAGTTATTTGTTTTCTAATGTTATGTTATGTGACATTTGTTAGATACGGATTATGACAGTGTGCACACTAACCTTGTTCTTGAAAACCCCTAGTGTTTAACTTTCATTATGGTTAGAAAGTTTTTCCTAATATCTGATCAAAAGCTCTCTTGCTAAAAATCTTCAGTGGACATGGAGGACAATGAGGAACTTCCTCTTTATAACATTTCTTAACTTATCTGAAAACTATTCCCTCAGTCTTTTTTCAAAACTAAATATGCTCAGTTTTTTAATCTTTCCTCATAAATAATGTTTTCTTAATCTTTTTAAATAATTTGTGTTGTTTTCTTCAGGTCTCTCCCCAATTTCCCCACATCTTTGTTAAAGTATGGTGCCCAGCACTGGACACAGTACACTAGCTAAGGCTTCACCAGTAGAGTAACTGTCCTAAATATAGTGGGAGAGTTACCTAGTGTGTATTACATAGGACACTCCTGTTAATGCAATAAACTGGTGTTTTCATAAATAGTCTGAAGAGGGAGCAACCTTATCAGGTGTCTCTTTAAGGACAATCTCTTTGACTCAAACTTATAATCAATATTGTCATGTGAGGTCATGTGCATAGAACTGATGTATTTTCTAAATGCCGAGTCATAGTTAAACAGTGAAATCCATTATTACAGAAGTGACAATTAATTCCACTTATCACACATTACATCTAGAATCATTCACTGATCTTACTGGAACTGGCTTAACAGACACCATAAAATTATCATGAAACTCTATCTTACAAGACTAACATATGTCTGAATAAAAATGATATTTTTTATGTAGCAAAACAGTAGCAGATAACATGGGAGTGGAATTACTGTTATTATTTGAATTAATTTACTAATGTAATTTGTTGGAATTCAGTTTAAGATCTGGGAAAATACTTCATAGTTGTCTTTCTACTATAATGCTTCCTATAGATTACTTGCTGCTTAAGAATTAATTGTAAAATTAAAGTCTTTAAATAGCATTTTTTCCAAAGATACTTGATGACATGACAGCTAATGAACTCTATTAGGCAAGGAACAAAAATCCTATAATGTCCAATGTTCTAAAAGACCACAAATATGCAGTCATCTATTTTACATGCATATTGCACTGTCACTTTATTTTAATCTTCTTACAGGAAAACAATTTAGCATATAAAAAGATTGGATAAGGAACATTAAGAGCTAAACAACAAATAGTTCTAACAATGTTATCAGAAAAGTAGATTGTGTTTAAATTTTAATCATCTGACAGTTTCTCCAGGAATTTCCATGGTCTGAAAGCAACAAGATTCAAAAAGTGATAAACATTTTCTTAGGAAATAACAATGCATAAACTATCATAGTTTTGTTTTATGAAATGATACAATTGTTTATGAGAGTCTATCTCACTGGCTTTTTAAAAATGTGCTTCTTGAACCAAATTTTCTTCTTAATTAGATGGGTACACCTCAGTTGACTTCAGTGGGGTTGCATATGAATAACCAAAGGGAAAATTTGATCTTTGATTTTTTGTAATCATTAATAGATTTTTTAAAAAAAAAATTTGAAAAACTAAGATGACCTGATATATTGTTTAAAATATTCAATCTACCACCTTGTTACTGGGCTTCTGTTACAAGGTCTTTCCTCCTCTAAGCCAAAGCCCGTTTCATTCCCAAATACTAATGAAGCCAATGAAATGCACTGTTCTAAGAGCACTTAATAAAGATGCATGTCCTGTCATCTACCTGGAATTTCGTAATGATGTGCAGATGCTATTGGCACCTTGACTCTATTTAAAGAGGATAGTTGAAGGTGCCTCTTCTTAATGAACAACAGTCAGGGACAAGGATTATGAGGACATGCTTTTGTTATTATGAGTGAACTCTGTCTTTTATATGGCATTCTTCTTTACTGCTTAGAATGCTTACCGAGTCTGTACCAATGGGCTTGTTATGTCTGCTTGAAACTTCAGACATAAATAGGGCAGCTGTATTTTAAACATTGCTGGTACTATAATGTGAAGAACCCCATCTCCAACTACCTGTCGGTGAACGGCAATACAACAATCCGTTTTTGTGAGAATGCTTTCTCCATCATCATTTGTAAAACTTAAAAATTATTTTGCTGCAATCTGCAGTCTCCATTGAGACTCTGAATTAAGTTTGGTGCATTCCATTTATTTTTTAGCCTTTCCTTGGATGTTTCTGAAAAAGGAAAAAACAGTATCTCCAGTAAGGATATATGAAGATTATTGAATGGATAATTAGGCACATTTTTTATTGTGAGACGTTTTTGTCTGATATAGTTTAGCAGGTAATAAAGGATATCTTCCAGTGTTCCATTTGATTCACTGTTCTCAAAGAACAGGGCATGTTTATTGTACAATGAAGTTAGTCAAAGGATATGTCTATACTGCAGTAAAACACTCACAGCCAGCACAGATCTGCTAGACTGGGCTGAGGAGCTATAAAATTGCATGGGAGGGAGCTTGAGGTCTGGGACACTCCTCCCTCTCTGGGAACACAGGGTTCCTGCTCCAGCCAACAGTATTATATAACCCCCAGCCCAAACCTCATGATCCTGAATTAGCTGATCCAGCGTCGCTGTAGGTGTTATTGCCATGTAAACATACCCCCAATATTTAAAATAGCTAACTTTAGGCTAATCCCTACAGGCCTCAATTTGACACAGAATTTAAGTGCATACCTTACTATAAGCAGATGAGTAGTCCCAGAAAGATACTTAAGCATGTACATAGTCCTACCAAAATCAAAATTAAGTACATGCTTAAGCAACTTGATGTGTCAGAGCCATAGGCAGCATAGCCTAATAGACTGAGGACAAAACTGGAGTGAGGAACAGCTGACTTCTGTTCCTGATGCTGTCATTCTTTTGCTTGTGTGGCCTTGGGCAAAATAATCTAAAAGGAGTTAT